GATCCTCTCATTCGTGACGATGATGCGAGGAGCGAAGGTTAAATTAACAACCGAGATGGCCATTCGTCGTAAATTCATGCAAATACTTTTGGAAAAATACCTATAATAATCTCGACCCATAATCACCCCTCCTCTTTCTTATCCATTAAATCTGCGCGTCTCGTCTTTCGGCCGCTCGCCTTTCTTTTCATTGTTCTTTGTCACGCGATGTTTTTACTCTCGCGCTCTTAATCACCGTGTTTAAAGACAAAGAAATTCCGTGTTTCGCGGAAACGTTGGCGCGTGGTGATTCGAATAGGTGCGACCAACGAGCCATCACGCGAAATTATACGTGTTTCCCTGTATTTTAATCCCGATAATTACATTCTTTCACCGGTGATTTCGCCTTTCCCCCCCCCCCTTTTTTTTTCGGCCCTCCGTTAACAACGTTAATAATTCGTTTAAAAAGAAAGTTGAATTTCTAATACGCCTGAGAAGCGTAAAAAAAATATATACCCCTCTTAAATCGCAAGATTACTTTAAATCATGACAATCTACGTCTCATTTGTCACTTTTTTCGACAACCAACCGATTCAATTAAACGTGCCCCGCTTTTGTCGTCTCTTTGTCACGATATATTTATCAAAAATATCGATCATCATTTATTATCCAACAATACCTTCGTTATCGATGTAGGCTTTTCGTTATTCATGCAAAACGAATCGAAAAAAGCAGGCGAAAAAAAAAAAAAAGAAAATCGCGCGCTGTTGCGCTCATTGAAATCTCTCCGTCCGTTCGTCTATGTCGGACGCGTTTCATTCTCGCCAGATGACTCCAGTTGTCTCTGGACAATTGCCTTTGGCCTCGACCCCCGATCATTACGAATTTCTGGTTTCGTCGTTTAGGCGGCCGTTTACCGACAGAGAGAGAAAGAGAGAGGGAAAGGAGGACGAGATGGAACGATGACGGAATCATCTTAAGCGGCAAATTACACGTATGCTAAGTGGGCACGATTCAAATTATTATTATCGTCATGATGCCCTGGCCCCAAAGGACTCGGCTCTTCCGAGAATGATCACACACGCTTCTTTTCGTTTCTTTCCCTCGGTTTTCTTTTTTTTTTTTTTCTCCTTTTTTTTTCGAGATCCCCTTCTCGTTTTTCTTTCCTCCCTTTCCTCATTTGAATGCGATCTTCAGAGGTGCGCACACCTCTCCCTTCCGTTCCTCGTCGAGGAAAGAAGATATCGATCGGAACGATCGTGCCCGATTATCGAACCTCCTCTCTCCTCTTTGACGGCCCTCGTCAAATTCTTTTCGATCGATAATTTAAAAAAGGATAAACGAAATTGAAAATGGGTGGGAAATGAAGAGAAATTCATTGCCTGGACGAAAATGAATCTAGCTCCTCGAGCTCTTATAATATATTATACGTTGTTAAAAAAGCGAGATGGAGAACCACTGATGAAGAAATGATAGAGTATACACACAAAGCAATCCCTGCAGTCGAGCCATTCCCCGTGATACGTTATTAATTTGAATACCCGATGAATTATTTAACGGTGCGATTAGCCTAATGCATCGCGACTCCTCTTCCATTAAAACACGGTGAAACGATACGCTCGAAGAATCATCCGTGATTTCGACTTCCCCCCCCCCCCCCCTTCTCCTCCCTCCCTCCTTTGATTCTTTTAATTGCGCAGTTTCTTCTATTAGCGGAACCGAAACGCGCGACCAATCTTCTTCCCGGATCGTTCGATGATTATTATTATTATTACGAATATCGAACGCGTTTCCCTCGAAAATTCCCTGCGCGCCGGCACGTGCCAATTACTCTAATCCCCCTCTAATTATTCTCTCTCTTACAATTTCGATCCTTTCTTCCTGTCGCCCCTTTAATGAAAGATAATTTACGGGCGACGATTCTTAAATTCTTAAATTTGCGCGCTTCCCTTCCCTAGGCATATTAGGAGGCCAGCGCTAGTTGTTATATATATATATATATATATATACACACACCTTTTCACTCTTTCTCTGTCATCTTTACATCTTATTTCGCACTACGTGATTAGTCGAAAGTGAGTTGTCGTGAAGGCTAGGTCTGCAAAAAAAAAAAAAAAAAAAAAATTATAGAGACAAAATCCTGGTAAAATAGAAGATAGAAGAGGAGTTTGAAAAACTTGGTTTCGGATTTTTATTTTTTTTTTTTGGCTTCCTCGATGGTAGATCGTGTTCGAATCGCACAGCCCGGGGTGGCAGTGTCTCCTCCCGTCTAAAAAAAAACGTAACATTACCAGGGAACGATGCCAGCTCGGGGGGCATTCCTCGAGTCTGTGCAACGTGGCGGATACGTCCAGCCAGAGGATAGGGAATCGTAGGTGGTGCTGGAACAACAGAAGGGAAACGCGTATATCCATTGGCGCCCCATCAATTAGGGTGCCTGGCCCGCGGTCACGGATATTTCCAAGGATATTTTTGCGAACCGACAGAGAGACCGGGCTTCGACGAATCCCCCGAGAGATTTTGCCTCGTCTCTCTGCAGCGAGAAACGTTTTCCAACGCTCGACTCGTATTATCTTTGTAACGCTTGTCACTCGGACGAAAGAAATCTTGTTAAAAGAATTCCTTTCCAATTTTCTCCAAGGGTATACGGAAAGGACGTGAAACGAAATCTCCTCCGTCCATTTGAAATTTCGTAAACTGGAGCGGCACCGGTTTCCGTGGAATTCCGTGGCATAATTACGGCAAACTCATTGTGGGCCTGGCCCGCAACAATGCGTAAAGCGCGCGGGTGGAAGATTACATGATTGCCCGGTTATTATGGGAAATTTTCGAAAAATCGACGATCCAGGTATCCGACCAGAGGAAGGTAATCGGTTAATTCTCTATCGTCTATATATATATATATTAAAAATCATGGATCTTATTAACATCCTCCTCGCTTCGATCGCGTCGGTCGAAGAATTAATTCACCACCGATGTATTTTAAACGGTGCGCGTTTTTTTTTTTTCGAGATCCATAACGATTTTCGGTGATAAAAATAACATCGTTTAATAACGTAAATTTTATTGTTTATTAAATTAGACGTGACAATATTATGTCGTATCTACAGGAAAAGTACAAAGTTATAAGTTATGCTATATGTATATCATATGTATATATATTTATATTATAATACGGTAATTATCGTACGAGATAGCGAAGAGATTTTTTTCCTTTACTTCAGCGTTTTTACGAGAACTCGACGGGGTGAAGGATAATATATTTAGAATCGTCGAATTGTCTCGATTCTTAATATCTGAAACCGGTAAGGGTAGAGAGAGAGAGAGAGAGAGAGGAGTNTGA